GAGGCCAGCCATGATCAGGAAGCTGGCAATGAGTGTGCGGCGGCTGAAGAACCTGAACAAGAAGGTACAGGTGGACCGGCTCAGGAAGTCCATGGCCCCGAAGAGGATCTGGAGGAGGAAGATGTCGCTCCCCAGGCTCTGCAGATCCAGCGCCAGCCCGTAGTAGGAGATCATGACGCAGAAGCTGCAAGGCGAGGCCAGAGGTCAGGTCTCTGCCCCACAGGGGACAGGCACGCCTGCAGCACCGCCTTCCACATAAACTGCCCCAGCAGGACACAGCCAACCCTGAGCTTGCCGCTGCCAGAGCCTGGGAAGCCTGTCGAATGCGGGTCTGGCCGTCCCAGACAAGGGCGGTGATGGCGCTGACCTCATTCTTTCCTGGTCTGGGCCTTGGGCAGAGGCCACGACCCATGATCTGACCCACCCGGCGGGGGGTCGGAGGGCTGTGTCCCAGACACCCCCACCCCCACCCCCACTCCGTCCTCTGGCTTCGTTTTCAGAGCCGTGTCTGGCTCCTGCTGTGCTACCCGTGAACTTGGGCTGGTCTCCACCCAGCTCGGGATGCTGGTTTCTTTGTCTTGAAAGATGGGATTCATGACAGAATAGAGTCTGTGGAGGATGCTGGGCTGGGCTGGGCTGGGCTGTCCCTCCTTCGGGATAGAAAGACTTATTCCCAGCCCCTTGGAGGGTCTGCCCCTCAGCTGGGGAGAGCACCCCATGACAGGCCTACATGGCCACAGGAACCACTCAAAGGGCCACCCAGCTCCTAGCTCCCCAGGGCCGGGCTGGGGCTTTGCTGTGACTGCTTCATAGCACTCCTCCCCTGCCGCCTCCTGCTTCTCACCCCCTTCCCCCCAGGAGTTGATCCCAAGAGCCCTCTCCAGGGAACTTCTTGCCCACTGACCTCCACCTTAGTCTGCTTCCTGAGGACCCCAGCCACGGGGTCCCGAGCAGACAAACTTACAGAACCTAAATGTCCACCGTTTAGAGATTAAATCGGGATCCATTAAATGAAGTTCTTCTCCACCATTTTTCAAATCCATCCGCATCTCAGCCTCACCTGGGACACTCAGCTCACCCTCCCCCCCCCACCCCCGCCTGCAGCATCACCTGGCGGCTGTGCTCAGTGACATCTGCCGCCAATGACTGCAGAGCGAAGCTGCCGTCCTGACAGAAACCACAGTGCTTCCCGAACTCTGTGAAAGTGATGGGGACCCTGGAAGAGGCTGACACGCCAGGGTCTAGAGCCCCAGCTGGCAACAACTGAGTTAACAGCCGAAGACAAGAAAACCCAGGAGGTTAGCCGCCTCACAGCCTGTGATTTGAATTACAAAAGATGCAGGGCAGCCCCAGAGAGAAGGCAGGAAGCCTCGAAGGCGGTGGAAAGAATGACCCCGGATGTTCCCGGCAGGGGGCACTCCTTCTAATTTGTCAGAAACTTAAGCCAAAAAAAACCCCACAAGCATCCGATCCGTTCTCTGTTCTAAGATGTAGCAAGTGTGTGCCGTGATAACCCATATGTGGTTAAATATAGCATAAAGTAAATGTTTTCCCAATAGTCAGTTTTATTTCAAGATAAGTCCCAATCAAATCTGATTCTGGCTTTTCAATATGTTCTTTTGGAAGTCGCTTGAAGTGCATTCGTTTTATTAAGAAGCCTTTTCTTGGTCCCAGGAGCCATTGGGCGCCAGGACAGGGCCCCCTGGGATGGGGTGAGGATTCTATGCTCCATGTGGGGCCTGGCAGGTGACATCTGCGGGAAGAGTTAGCTTAGCCTGGGTTCAAATGCCTGCTCATCATCTTGGGCAAGTTACTTGCCCTGCCGGGCCCCATCTGCACATAGGGGTGTAAATGAACTTGCTGCGTGGGGTTGCTCAGAGGGGTAAGTAGGTGGTCCCACACACTTAGACCTTCGGGAGTGTGGCTGTTGGGGTGTGTTCCAGGCTGCCACACAGTGGGTGTTTAGCTCTCTCGGCCCCGGCCTGACCCGGCCCTACGCTCCAGCTGGCTTCCCGCAGGAGCCAGCCTCCAGACCACGTCTGCACATACGCCCTCTCTCTGCCTCCTGGGGGAACTGCCCGCCCCAGCCAGAAATGCGCCCCCCTGCCCCGCCCCTCCCCTCCCCTTCCCCCACAGGAGCCATGATAGGATACCTTACTATGCACATACAGCTACTTCTCAGGCGGAGGGAGGGCACGCGGAACAAGTCCAGCATGGAATAGCGGGTCTTCCCAGAGGCCAGCTCTTCCTTCATGCTGGACAGCAGCACCTCCGGGAAGAACAGGGCCACAGTAAGAGTTGGGGCAGGGGTCTCGTCCTACCCCCACGCCAGGGAATGGTGTCCAGAGTGGTGGAAGAGCCTGCAGGGGGAGGGTGGGGTGGGGACGGAAGGGCTCTCTCTGCCGCCCGCCTGCGTTTCTTCTGCAGCTCTGGCCCTCTGAACCGCAGGCTGCAGGATACTCTCGGCAGTTACTATCCAAGTCCCACCGTCCCTTCTCATTCCACAAGGCTGGCATCGGGGCACGCCCGCTCCAGCCACATTGCGTCCCAAGTGCCCATCCAGTCTCCTCCTGAACCTCTGGGCCCTGCCAGCCCTATGCACAGTTCGGTCCTGGTCAGCTCTAGCTTGCCTCCTCCTGGAAGCCTTCCCTGATCCTCCCGTCCAGGGGGCTCTGCGTCCTCTAGTCTCTCCCACTTCTACTTCCTTGAAATAGCTGCCATTCAAATAAGAACATCCTGTTTCCCCAAATATACTGAGAAGCCCCATGAGGTGAATGCACAATGTATGTGGATTAAGGCGGCGAACGGCCGCGGTGGTGGTGCGGGTTCGTTGTTGATAACGGCTGTATTGTCCCCGGTGGTGGTAATGGTGGTAATGATGGCGGTGAACGTGATGGCCCCGGGGCTGGTGCTGATGGTGTTTCGTAGAGATGCTGATGCTGATGTTCGTGATGGTGCTGGTGAGGCCAGCGGGGGTGGTGGTCTGCTGGTGGGGGCTGGGGTGCGGACAGTCGTAATGCTCTTGATGACGGTGCCCATATTAGTGGTATTATTATGGGCGGTCGTGATGGTCGTGGTGTTTAGGTCGTGATGACGGTGGGTAGAGTGGAGGTGGGGATGCTGGTGGCAGTGGTCTTGAGGGTGGTGATGAGGGCGGTGACGGTGATGGTGATGGGGGTGGCAGTGGTAACAGAGATGGTGAGGGTGACAGTAATGGATGGGGATGGCATTGGTGGCGTTCACGGAGGGGCGGTGGAGTGGGAGGTGGTGATACTGGTGATATCTAAGTGGATGTCCTTTCTGTGTCCCGTCCCACACTCTGGGTCACAAACAGCAGCAGCTCACCTCTCGGGTCAATGTCTTTTTGACTTCCTTGTGGCCGTTTATCCTGGCCACCTTTTTGAGTACCTGGAGCGCTCGGTCTGGTTTGCCTTTCATAATTAGCCATCGCGCAGATTCCGGTAGCCACCTGTTAGAGAAGCAGGTGCTTGGCTGGGCCTTTGCTTTTTTGGTGGGTGCTGGGTACGCCCCCGCCCTGCCACGGTCAGAGGTGCGGGGTGGTGGGCAGCAGACCCCCCAGCTGCAAGGTGAGCAAGGAGGAGGCGGCCGCTTCTCCCTCTGCACACAGGAAACTTACAACATGCTGAATTAGAAGAAAACACACATTTAAAACATCCCCAGGCAGAATGGAACGGGTTTATAAACTAATCTGCTTCTTCCCAGCCTCAGGGCAGTTGGGCAGGGAAAGGGTCCCCCTGGTGAAAGGGACAGAATTTTCCCAGCCCATAGGATCTCAGCCCTGTTTGCAGAGAAGCTAAGAAAAACTTCTGGAGGCAGTTTGACAGACAGCGGTTAAAAGAGTCAGCCTGCCTGGGTTCAAATCCTGCCTCTGGCATTCACTGGCTGTGTGGCCTTGGGCAAGTCACTGAACCTCTCTGGGGCTTCAGTCCCTCACCTGAAAATGGTGGTAACCATATCATCGTCCGCATCAGAAGAAGTGTTAATACACATATGGTGTTACTGACAGAATCTAGGACATACCCGATCGGTGTGACCAGGGCGCATTGATTAGTGTAATTACCACTGTCTTCCTCCTGACTTACTGATCATGTTCGTACAATAAAATTCCATGTGGTCAGTGGCTTTATTTGCTGATCGTATCCCCAGTGCCTAAAACCATGTCTGGCAGGGGGCAGGAGTGCAGTAAATATTTGAGAAGGAATGAAGGAGCCCTTGTGATTCTCTACCTCACTGGTCCCCAATCTTTCTCTACCTCACTGGTCCCCAATCTCAGGGACCAGTGCTCCTGAGAGAACCTAGTGCCTGATGATCTGAGGTGGTGATGCTGGCGCTGGGGAGCGGCTGCAAATACAGATGAAAATTTCGCTCGCCCGCCACTCACCTCCTGCTGTGCGGCCCAGTTCCTAACAGGCCACGGACCGGGGATTGGGGACCCCTGCTCTACACTCCACAGTAGACTTACCTGGGCGCAGGTGAGCTCAACTCTGACTCACAGGCACAAGAAAACTTCTGCGGACATGAATTTGTGTTTGTTTCCCAGTATCTCTTCCTCCAGTCCCCACCCAAGGAGATATTTCCAGACCTCGGAGATTTTTGTAGTGACCAAGGTAAGAGTGACAACATCTTTCCATATGCGATGCTGGTCCTCACTGACTGGGATGCCCACGGGCTCCCCAAGTGACGTGGGCGTGAGGCTGGCAAGCAGCGGGGAGCTGGTGCCAATGTGGGGGGGGGATGGCCGAGGGACAGCACCCTCAGCCGCAGGCCCAGAGGCCAGTGGGCTCAGAACTCTGGCTGAAATGCCTATCCTGGAACTCTGAATCCCCAAACTGCCCTCAGCAAGGTCTCCATTCCCATCACTCCTTTGCCCTGCTCTTGGCATCTTGGGGCCTGTGGCCAGCCAGGGTGGTAGCGGGGAGGGGAGCCCTCCAATCCAGAGATGTTTTCCCCAAGGGGAAGATGCCCTGCCCTGCACCCACCAGGAGATCAGGAAGAAGGCAAAGAAGGGGGTCGACAAGGCCAGATTGAGGGCTCGCCAGTCTCGCAGGACGAAGGCCAGACCGCCCAGGGCCATGTGGCCTATGCCGTAGGTACATCCCAGAATCGTGACGGTGAGATCCACCCATCTGGTCGTGGTCCACTCCACCACTAAAAGGCAGAGGCATGCAGCTGAGGGCCACACATAGTGGCCTTGGAGCCCGTCTTCCCCACCTCCCATGACTCACCGAGTGTGGATGTGGTCATTAGGACACCAGCCAATCCGAAAGTACTCAAGAACCGGAGGCCACAATAGATGAGGAAATTGGGGGCAAAGATAGTGCTGGTGTTGGCCACGGCCACCTGCAGGCAGCACCAGCTCAATATCGGCTTCCGCCCAAACCTGTTTGAGGAGGCAAGCACAGTGCGGGGCCTGGAGAGGGGTCCTGGGGACTTGGACATAGAGGCTTGCCATTGGAAGGTTCGATAAAGCCGGGGTGGCTGCTGGAGCCCCACATGGTGCCCGCGCCTCAATGCAGGCAGCACCTCCTTCTCAGAGCTCCCAGGAGCACGAGCGGAGGGTGTCTGTCATGACCATGCTCTCAGCGGGCGGGCATAGCCTCATGGTCAAGGATGGGCTTTGGCATCAGATGCCTGGGTTTGAGTCCGCTCTGCCCTTGCTGGGTAACCTCGAGCTCAGCGTCTCTGAGACGCAGTTTCCCCATCTACAAAACGGAGGTGCTCATGGCGACATGCCCGATAGGGTCGTTGTGAAAATCAAGACCTTGAGCGAGGGGACCTCGTAGCCAGGAGGCGGAGCACGAGTGGCCTCCAGCAAGCCAGCCAGCTCCTCGCCTGGGGCCGTGCATAGTGACAGGAGCTCCCAGGAGACGCCCCCCAAGGTCCCTCAGCCTGGGGCCGCCACCCCAGGCCAGCTTAGCCTGAACCACAGCCCATGTTTAGCTAAGTATGTGTTGGTTCTGTCCGAGGGATGTGGGCAAACCTTGGCCCTGCCTAAGGACACACAGCCCAGACCTGGGCAACCCGCAGACTGATTGCTTCCTGTGTGGATGGCCCCTGGGGAACCAGCGATGGCTACACGGTGGCCAGTTCTCTGAAAATGCTGGACCATGTCCCTCCCTGCGGCTCGGGCTCCCTGCCACGCTCGGGATAATCTAAAGCCCACAGATAACTGCAGCTCGGGACCCCCCACTGCGCCAGGCTCTAGCCCGAGCTCTGCAGGCGACTGACTCACTGAAGTATCACAGCAACCCCACAGGGAAGTGCCAGGGTCCCCACTAACGGGAGGGAACCGAGGCACAGAGTAGCAGCCAACTCACCTGCGAGGAAGCAAGGGTGCTGAAGGCAGGGATGGGGACCCCAGAGCCCGCCCTGCCCGGAGAAGTCAGGGAGCCACCCAGCCAACCATGCGCTGCCACCCGGGCTCCCCGCCTTCTCAGAGCTGCGCCTCGCGGGGACGCACGATAAACGAGTGAATGGGTGCCATCGGAGCGGGGTGCTGTGACGAGGGGTGCGAGGCAGGGCCACAGCAGCCTGCTCGGCCAGGGGCAGGATCTCCAGCTCCTGTGGCCTGGAAGGCTCTCTGAGGAAGCGGCCTGGGGCTCAGGCCTGTGGGCTGGGCACACAGTGGCCCTCAGGCCAAACTTGCAGGTGAGGCACCTGCCTCAGGAGGGGCTCGGGGAGGAGGGGATGGGGAGGAATGGGGAGGAGGGGGAAGAAGGGGAAGGAGTATTTGTATTTCATAGTATGTCATATACTTGGAGTTCAAAAAAAGGGCGCTCTGTTTCTCCCTCTCTGAGGACGGGGGCGCTGTGCAGCATCTGGCACACAGTAGGTGCTCCATAAAGGTTGGTACAATAGCTGAAGGACAGAGAGCAACAGTGCTCAGGGCGATTCCCCACCGTACAGCTTAGCCTGCTGTCGGGTTCTCGGTCGTCACTGCCCTCTGGGGAGCTGGGACTCTTGTCCACACCCCGAACCGAGGGAGCCGCCTCTCTTAGGGAACATAGACGCTTATGTGACATTTCCGTACCTCTGTCCTCATAATGCTCGTTCTGCCCGGAAGGAGCTGGGAGGGGAGGAGCACTCACCAGGAGGAGAGCAGGCCCCAGGCTAAGAACCCCAGCAGGAACCCGGCCATCATGACGCCCTGGCCCACGGGCTTCAGGTTCTGGCTGGCGCACACCAGGCCCCACTGGAAGAGAAGGAGAGGGTGACAGCCTGGCTCGGGGGACGTAAACTATGGTGCCAGGTTGGGCGTTCCCAGCCAGGAACACCTGGTCAGCCTGGGTCCTGTGGGTTTGGCCACCCACAATGGGGTCCCCTGACCCTGACCTCTAGGGCCAGGCAACAGAGGCGGGGGGCAAGTGCCGGCAGCCCGCCTCCATTCGCAGCCAGTGGCATGGCATGAATGTGACAGGGCTTTGCATCTGACGAGGTGATGGCCACTGCAACTGATGGCAGCTGTGCTGGTGATTCGACCTCAGGCTTGAATTCTAACTCTGCGGATCACTGATCGCAGGTCCCGCGCACCGTGGCTGTGTGTCCTGAGGCGAGTTACTTCACTCTCCGAGCTTCGGTTTTGTCCTTTATTATATGAGGACAATCGCAAGACCCACCCCGTGAGATTGTACTGAGCTTGTGACTACAGACAAAGCACTTGAACAAGGGCCTGCCCCTTAAAGGAAACAAGAGGAAGGCTCGCTCCGTGGTCACTACCGGTTTAAATGGTGACCGATTCTGAATCTGCCGGCAGAATGTAAAATCCTGGAGGCTCCCTGTTAACCCCGGAACGCTTGTCCCAGACCAGAATCCAGGCCACCGCAGGCAGCCGGTAATGCGTGTTTACGGAGTAGCATATCGTTCCATAGCGGTGATGGAGGCGATGTGACCCCCTAACCACGGGCGGACGGCAGCCGCTGGGAGGCCAGGAAGGAGGAGAGCTGCAGGGTTGGTGGGGGGAGGCCCTTACCTCAGCCACCATGGTGGAGGTGAAGGTGCTGAGGTCGTAGACCCAGCCGTCCACGCACGGCTCCGTGGCGGCCTCGCTCCAGTTGGTGGCCGTGGCATTGGGCTCCAGGAGCTGCCACTGCGGTTGGCGGAAGCGGCGACACTGGTCGGGCTCACGATTGGGGCCTAGTGGGATGGAGACGGCCAGGAGAGCCTCGGGGGTGAGGTTTGTGGGGACCTCAGAGCCATTGTCCAGCATCCGCACCCAGCAGCGGTGGCCGGGGGTGGCGGCCAAGAAGATGTCCATAAACAGTTGGGGGGGGATGAAGATTGAGATGGGGAGGATTGTGAAGACCTGCAGGGCCTGGAAGAGGCCCATGCCCCCGGCTCGCTCCAGGAGCTCCGAGAACGCCATGGCTAGAGGGGCCGGCTCCTGGGGCGCGTCTCCTTGGGGTCGAGGCGTCCGTCAATTGAGTGTCCGGCCTGCTGCGGGGAACCGCCAGCAAGCACAGGACCCGGGTCACCGGACCTGCCCTCGCTCACCTCTCCGGCTGGGTGAGCTTGGGCAGCTGTCCAGAGACCCGTCGAGTCAGTCCTGAGATGATCCAGCTGCTTCCAAAGAATGACAGTGTGACCACTCAACCGCTCTACGGAGAGGACGTGGCGGGGGGTGGGGGGTGGGGGCAAAGCTCGCCGTGCCCAGGCCGCCCGGCTCTCTAGCACCAAGAGCGAAAGGGCAAGTCGATTTTTAAAAAATAATAAGATGCAATGTTGTGATGTTACTGGATTACAGCTGCGGAAGAAACATCGAGTGAGCCGTTGCTTCATCACCTCGATTAAAGTTTAATCTCAGTGTGGGCTCCTGGGTGAAAAAGGCAGGTTCGGCCGGCCTATCGCATCCCTAAATCTTAAACCTTTGGAACCTGACACATGTGGCCCTTGAAATCAGGGAACTGTTGGCCGAACCTCCAGTCACACTAGGTAATGTCAGTCCCTTTTGCTAAAACGCAGAGGTGAGGACCGGGCGGTGCCCTCCCAAGCCAGGCCGCAGGGAAGCAGGGGTGGGGGGCGGGGGGCCTGCAGGGCTGGCAGGAAAGCCCAGGCCCCTGCTCGGACCTCCCTTACTGGGCACCTTTCTCCAGGCAGCGGTGGGACACCAGCTCGCAGACACGCAGTTTTGGGAAGCTTCGACTTTGAGGTTCCAGGTTGCCTTTATTAGTTCATAAGTTCGCCCACAGTGGAAGTCATGGCCACAACCTCCTGCACCCCTTAGACGCGCCCTCGTGGGCCCCAGAGCTGAGGAGGTGTGTAGATTGGGGGAGTGAGTGAAGTCATGCCCCTCTGACCCACTGTCTGATGCCAGCCCAGCTTGGCGTGAAGAGGGGTGAAGCCAGCCCCCCGCCGCAGCAACCCTCCCCCTCCCCCCCCACCCCGGGGCTGGGCCTTTTAGCAACAGCTGTTCCTGGCACCGGGGGCTTGCTGTGTGCTTGGCTCTTTGCTGACCGTGCTGCCTGCACCCTCTCATTCACTCCTCATGACAGCCCAGAGGCGAGGTGGTGCTAATTCCCCCAGACAAGGAAACAGGCTCAGAGAGGCTGGGCAGCTTGCCCAAAGTCACACAGCAGAGTTGGGATTCAAACCAGACTCTGAAGCTCTCGCCGATGCCCCTGGCCAGCTGCTGCGTGGCCTCCAGCCCGTCGTGGACCAAATCCCAGCTAAAGGCCAGAATTCGGGATTTGGATCAGAATGAGGGCCGGCCAAGGAGCACGAAGTCGCCTCCCAGGATGTGAGAGGCAATTGGCTGAATCAGTTCCAGAGAGAAGTCTGAGTGCTGGGTGTGTGGGTGAGATGTGAGCGGGTGTCTGGACCCTGAACTTCCCAGAACCTCCCCAAAGGGCTTGGGGAGGTCTACCAAGATGGCATCCATCCAGGAAGCCAAGGAGTCAGAGTTCCGGGCCTAGATTTCAAAGCCAGGATTACTTCCTCACTCTGCCTCTCTGGGCAGGAACTTATACATTTTTAAATAGCAAATAGAGAGAGGTAGGAAGAGCACCAACCTCCATTAAAGCAGAGGAGCAGCTGAGCATAGCTCCAACCCAGAACAGCCCGAAAGCCGAATCTTCATGGAAGGAATTGAGCTTCATGCCTGGGTGCAAATACCATCTTTGTAGGGGCAGGCCTGGGCCTGAGGCCATTGCCTTGAGGAGTGACCTCCCCGCTCCGGCCCTTGGTTTCTGGCCTGTGAAAGGACGCCTTGCCATGTTGGTGTTTCAAACCTGAGCCTGGATCAGAAACCACAGAAGTGTTGACTAAGACGCAGTTTCCTGGGTTCTGCCACACAGCTGGGCTGGGCCCAGGAATGCTCATTTTAACACGAGCCTTTGGGGGAGTCTGCTGCACTGGGACTGGGCCTTGCTTGCAGAATTGCGGGGCTAGAGGAGGCTGCTAACCCAAGGAGTCCATGAGATAATTCTTTCTCTTTCCTTCCTCCTTCCATATGCTTCAAAAAATGTTCTCCCCTGCTCTTTGCCTGTCGCGGACGCCCCTAGGCTTTGCTTACAGCAGAAGGTCAAACCTCCCGGATTTGACAGAAGGCTCCCGGAATTCCAACTGACTTTCTACTTCCAGGCCAAGGAATTTCTAATTTGTATTTTCTGTGTTTCTGGGGCTGCGGCGAGCTGGGGCGCGGGGTGGGGCGGCGGGAGGGCAGTGGGGGGGCGTGCATCGCTTGATGCAGTGGATCCGCCACCTAGTGGTCACACCGGGGACTGCAGCATTTCTAGCACTGGGCACATCCTTGCCGAGATGCCCATCCCCCAAGGGTTCCTCTGGGAGATGAGGAAAAGCAGCAGAGGGGAAGGAGGCAGACAGCCTTAGATTATAGCCACCAAGCCCTCCAGAGTGTCTCATTAAATTAATTCGTGTTTCGAACCGCTGGTTCTCATTGAACCAGGATTACCATTGGGCTTGACTTTCCTAACCAAGGATTAAAGCTAACCAATCGATGAAAGCCGAGGCCAAGCTCAGCCGCCACAGGACCTTAGGCAGTTCACCCTCCTTCTCTGACTCTAAGCTCCTCGGTTCTAAGTGGAGGCGTTCGCTTGAGGTAGTAAGATTAAATGAGATCGCAAGTGAGCCTGACAATAAATGTGAACCGTCTTCCTCACCCCATCTCCATGACCGTCAAACTCGCCATCAAACCCGACCGACCCTTTATTCTTCCTTTTATTCTTTTCCAGTTGAAGTCACAGCATTTCAGATCCAGCAGGACTCCCTGGATTTGGCCCCTGCCTGCAATCCTGGGTCAGGTGAGGGTCACAGAGCAGGGCAGGCACAGGGCTCTGTAGGCTCTCGGGTCCTGACTCCGGGTTTGATGTCTCATCC